TTAGTTGAAAAAGGGGAAAACTGTCAAATAGGTCCTCGAACTTTCATAAAAAGGTCAATTAAGTCCTTCTATAGGAGGTTCTGTCTGGCCGTCGCGATTTGGGGAAGTTCCCGGTGTAATTTTTTGATGAAATTTTTTGAGCATCTTATTCACCAAGTCTAGTTTACTCATACCAAATTTCAGCTAAAAATTCAATCGGGAACACATTCAAATTAATTCTTGAAGATAACGGCCGGACAAAGTCTCCCTTGAAAAAATGTTACTATTAAACCTTACAAATATATGTGAAATTAAAACTGTAACTATGTTAAGGTATTTTAAATCTTTCAAATCAGGGAAAAAATTAAAGCAATTATGTACCACTTAAAATTCATTCTAACTGCTAAAGCTTAAGAAAAGGGCCAAAAATGAAAAAAAAAATATGGATCAAAAGCCTACTAAGTGATTCGAACACGTGACCAGGTATAAAGGGTTACACGCATAGAACTCTACAGCACTAGGCAGGATGTTTTTATGTTACCAAATTCTATAATTAATGTATAAGGTCTTTATGTTAATCATAAAAAATATATAATTGTATATTAATTATATATATATATAGGGGTTGAGTGAGGGCAGCTGCTCCCCCCCCCCACGTTAGATCCGCCATTGATTGGGGGGATGGGGAGGGGGAGGGCCGGAGGGGGGGTAAGTGCTGCCTGCAGACATCCAAGAAACCTTATCCCCATGCAAAGAAAACTTTTTGTAGGTTCCACTTGACATTATGACACACATAAATGATACCGGTGGGCATAGCTCAACTAGTAGCGAGGGAGTACCACAAGGGTTAGGTCCCGGGTTCGGCTCCCGTCAACTGCGATGAGATGTTACTCGACATAGGGCCTCTGCAAGTACCGGGGACAGAATTTCACTCTCTATCTCTCAGATTGAAATTATAGTCCAATTTACATCCTCCCATCATACCATCCGGTCGGTGTTGGGGGCCTCCGGGATGGGGTGACACACATAAATGCACAACTCTTCTTTTTTTCCTCCAATGAATATCTCTCTCTTTCCTGCATTGTTATTTCTCTTCAACTCATTATCATAGTGAAACTCATCACACTTTTTCCCTGGAAGTGAGCTTACAAATGAATTTCACGGACGTATAATTGATCATTTTTCAATTTCCATGCACGTTAATGACGATGATGAAGTGATATTATTATGGATTGATATTCTTTATACCTGCTTTCAACCTCATCTTCTTAATTAATTGTTTCTCTAATTACCATTGGTTAATATATATCGAGTTTAATTAGGAAAAAGAGAAACTAACATGGAGAACCAAACATCCCAACAAAATTACATTTTTGCACAACTTTTATGTATGTAACAGACAATCCAATCTTCTCTCGGCTAGAACCGATCAACAAAACCCGATCTCCCTAGTAGTTGACTCTTCTTAATACCCTTGAATTTAATGTAACTATGCAATAAGAATCTGCTACGTATAAAACGTGGCTATACTGCTGAAAGATTTAATTGTCTACTCCCAATACCAAAATTTAGAACATAAAATTTCATGCAGCTACGGACAACAACAAAAAAAAACACAATCCTCAAACTTAAAAATCAATTACTATTTACCCCTGAGGTTATGCCATAATTATTAATACAACCTTGCATTTTCAAAAATCAACTAGTTACCCCTCAGTTTTGATCATTCTCACTACTTGCCCCTCGTATTACTATTCGTGAAATTAAATTTAATATAACTCTTAAATTCAATGCAAATTGTCTACAAAATTACATTTTAAAATAATACATGATGGAGTTAAATCCAACTACGAGAGCTAATATACGTAAAATATGAAAATAATATGGCAGCGTAAGGCAGTTTACTCTTTATTCCGGAGAACTAGCAATAGTCTAGCATCGTTTTAGAATCTTATCGGGGATCCGATCCCTTGGTAGGGAGTTTACATCAAGTATTTATAGAGATTATGAAGTAGAATTATGGGAGGAATCTAATACAATAAATGCTCAATTAATGAACAATATTCTTGCTAGAAATAGAACTCTTCGATGCTTGACTCCCACATGATTTCTTTCCCTTTTTAGTCGTCGTCCTCCGGATGAGTTCTGCCTGTTGCCAAATATCTATCAGCGAGTGATAGCTTGCCACGTAAGCCCTAGGAATACCCTGGCCTCACTAGAACTCTGCCCAGGCTCGAGGTCTGCTGTCCAGTCCGGCCTGCTGGTGGGTTCCTGTCGTGGGCCTAATTCCTAATGGGTTAAGCAGCTTTCAACCATGAATCCCGTTGGTGGGCTAATCTTGTACTTAGGCTGGTCCCGTTGAGGGCCGATCTCGTTTATGGGCTGATCCTGTAATTAGGCTGGTCCCGTTGAGGGCCGATCCCGTTTATGGGCTGATCCTGTAATTAGGCTGGTCCTGTTGAGGGCCGATCCCGTTTATGGGCTTGACTACGTAATTGGACCATGGTCTTAATCCATGGTACCATCAATACACAATGTATTATCATAATTAGAAGTCATTGTTCTTGATATTTATTTTGTACTTCGCTACTTCATCGTGGAATAAACAAATATTGAATTGAATTTTTAAGTTATATTGAATTTAATTTAACAAATATTGATACGAGGGGACATATAGTGAGAATGATCAAAACTGAGGGGGTAACTAATTGAATTTTGAAAACGCAAGGTTGCATTAATAATTATGGCAAAACCTCAGGGAATAAATAGTAATTTTCCCTAATAAAAAATTAGTAGTCAATGAAATGGTTGTTGTTATAAAGTTCGGGATTTGGATACTTTGTATATGAATGTGCAGGACTTTCGTCTTTGATATTAGTTTAAACGAGAATAAGGATTACAAAGGCTTTAGGATTCGCCTAAACGCTTTACTAGAGTTTAATACTAGTTCTTTAATGATTATGAATACGATAGTGTTAATATATTCCCGACTCTGATCAAGGCAATGAGAATGTGATTATCGTTACATGTATGTTTTGTTACGGCTTGCATTCCTCTCTCGAGACTAAGGTGCCGTTTGGTAACACCCCTTTTCGGCTTATCAGGCTTATCAGCCAACTTTTCCACCAAACACGTAATTTTTGCTTTGGCGTGCTGAATTATGTAATAAGCAGAAAAAGTAAGGTTGGAGTTACTTTTCTGGCTGTATTGGCTGAAGTTACTGTAGATGACCATTTTAGCTATTTTTACATGAAATAATTACATAAATATGACCAAAATAAAGATGATTTACAAAAATATGATTAGTTACTAGAGTAGTAATGAAATCATAGTTATTCATGTTCAAGTTTTGAACTTAAGTTACTACAACACCACGTTGTAGTAATGAATAGTCATATTTATGTTAATAAGTTTTATTTTAGTAATATTCTTATAAAAAACCCTTTTTACATATAATTTTTTCTTAATTTTATTAATAAAATATATTTTAAAAATATTTTTTTTCTTAAATCAGCAGAATCAGCCAATGCAGCCACTTCAGCCAGAACTTCAGAAATTTCAGCAGAATCAGCCAAACCAGCCGATTTTCCTTCTACCAAACGGGCTCTAAATTGCTAGCCATGTTTTGAATAGAACTAACTAAAAAGCTTAGCTGATTTTAAAACAAAATACTACAGCCTCTCATTGGTCTACGCTTGAACAATTTAATGGAGACATACAGGAGCGGACCCAGGAAATTAATGTTGGGGGGTTCAAAATATTTTTTAAGGGTTAAAATTATTTTTTGAAAGGGCGAAAATTATTTTTCTTATATATATACACTAAAAATAAATTTTGTTGGAAGGTCCGCCCATGAAGACATATATCCGAGCTCCAATGCAAGCAGGTATAGCGGTAAGCAGTTCACACCCAAACAAAATCAATTCTACTTGCTACTGTTCTGTTTTAAACTTTCAGAGGAGTTGTGATTGCTGCTCGATGAATTGCAACTACAATTCTCCTCCTTTTTATTGCCAAAGAGTACAAGAAGTTTAGGGAAAGTAAAATCATTTATCTAGGTTTTTCGCTTAGAGAGCTTCAAACCAAACGTAGAGAAGCTCCTCCTGATAAGGAGCAAGCAGAGGTAAAAATGGTGTTTTTATGAATTAAATGTGGTAAGTTAGTACTATTGAATTACTTTTGTTTGGGTTATTGGTGATCACCTGTTTTGAGCCTGCAGCACTTTGGTTTGAGTCCAGCTATGAAAGTCATTAAACTAGTAATGTTTTTACTTTGGACTGTTTTCAGTCCCTAACCGGAGCAGATCGTACTAAACAAGACTTAATTAAACAAATCAGATTAGAGCAGACTTCGACAGTTATAAAATACACAGAAACTAGACATTTGATAGACTAGTTCAGACCAGACCATATTTAAACAAACTAGTCCAAACCAGACCAAAAAGTTTCAGTCCAATTAAAATCATCCTTAAAATTGGCTGGTCTAGTCTCTTTAAGGATGATCCTTTCTTCTTTAATAGCTAGTTGACTATTACGTGATCTTCTCTCTTTGATCCAGACTAGACAGTTGACTATTGGTTTCTCTAATAGTCACCTAACACCATTCTGTGATCTCTTTGATCCGTTACGCTCTTTGTTTTGCACAGATATTTGCATGCCCAATTCTGTAAGGTTTTCTGATTCATTCTGTACACCACGTAATTGGTTTCTGTAATGGTCAACTAACACCATTTTATGATCTTTCATTGATGTGCTCCATTAAGTTCTTTGTTTTGCACGCATACTTGCACTCCAATTTTGTAAGGTTGTGATGTAACATTTTATGATCTTTTTTGGAACTTGAAACCAAGTTTGTTTTGAACAATTCATATTAAGTCTTTAACTTGAGTGACGACAAGGCAGGATTACTATAGTCTATAGATTTCAAATAAGCTAGAGATATGGATATATTTAGTGAAAAAATTGGATACAAATATGGACTTGACAATAATATCCAGAGTCTCTTGAAAGATGCTTTGGCATTTTCTGAACCTTGCTCTACAAATTATTAATGTGGGGCATTTATACTAACAAATGATTGAATATTTACAATTTTTCCTCCCTTTGACAAGGGAGCTCATTAATATGTCATACAAAGAATCCCAAAAGAAAGGATCAAATGAATGAAGAAGAAAAAGAAGAGTTACAGAGATATGGGAATGCATCAGAAAACACTGGATCACTTGGCTTTCAATTAAAAAACCAATGAAACACTCAGAAACACAAAATACAAAAAATAAACTACCCATGCCCAAATGTTGCAGAGCACTGTAATGGTGGGATTGATGGTCCCTCCTTTGGGTAAGGTGGGGGGAGGCTGCCTGCAGACATCTAAGTGACCTTATCTTGCCCCTCATGCATAGAAACTCTTTGTAGGTTCCACTTGTCATACATAAATGCACTACTCTTCTTTTTCTCCTCCACTGAAAACATCTCTCTTTAATTTCCTGCATTGTTATTTAACTTTTCAACTTATTATCATATTGAAACTCATCACACTTTTTCCCTATTTTACTTGGTACAAGGGGTGTTTGGAGTGATTGGGTGAAAGTGAAGAAGTACTTTTGGTGCTCTAATTTACTCCTGGAAGCAGTTTTTTTAGAAGTTGGGGGAGACCAGCTTCTGAAAAATGATTCTGATTCTGTTTTAGAAAAGAAGTAGTAGCAGAATCAGTTTCAAACACCCCCTAAAAATAAGTTTAATTAGAAAAGGATTTCACAGGACATATAAATATATGACATTTTTACTTTCACTTTAATCAGTTAATTTTATTGTTATAGAAGATAATCTGTCTGATATATGATGGAATGTGAGGATATTTCAACTTTCAACCTCAGCTTCTTAATTTATTGTTTCTCTAATAACCATTGGTTAATACGGAGTATATAGAGTTTGATTAGGGAAAAAAGAACTTCACATGGAGGGCCCTACATTGTATGATGATTTCTTTATTGTTTTTTGGAGTGGGGATGGAGCATGTGTTGTCGGTTCGTACACTATTAATAAAATGTAATAATAATAATAATAACAAAAATAACAACAAATTAAATCCATCTATGAATATAGAATTTAAAAAAGAACAGTGGAGATGTATGGGTATATAATACGAAGTATATACCTTCATCAATGGGCAAGTTGCTCTTTCTTTTCAGAACAATTAGATTGATCAGCAGGGGGTGGTTGTGTACCATTATCTTCCATATTCTTTAAGTTCTGCTGGTAATGAATTTGCCTCAGCCTCTCTATTTCCCTTTTCAATGCGTCTTGGTGAGCTGCATACATCCATTTTATCAAATTTAACTTATAATTCAAGGAAACCAATTAAACAAAATCCTTTCCAATAAATATTTTAGATAGATCTCATTAGTCAACCCCTCCACTACATAAACAAAGGGCAATGATTCAAAGTAGAAAGAAAATCAGAATCAATTTTTTAGAAGTTGGTTTCCCCAATTTCTAAAACACTGCTTCTACGAGTAATTGGGGAATCCAGAAATACACTTTCACCCAAATACTCTAATACTCCGTATGTCTTTCTGCTCAACGAAGGATTAGAAACAGTTTTATAGAGTAAGATCCAAACATCCCAAGGCGTGGTGGAGAATGAAGGAGGGTATTACCATCTTTGAAGACTTTATCTTGGGCAAGAGCGGCGATTCTTTGCTTGAGGACGCTGTTATCTACATTTAGAACTAGACGTTGGTGGTCCAAATATGCGACCCTCGGTGACAGTACTGAAACCTCCGCCTTTTTCACCATTTACAAAACCAAATCATCAAATTAGAAATACAATTAAACACTCAAGAAGATAATTGATTGATGGATATACACATTTAACAAAATGCACACTTATAGGGATGGATTATCATGGATATTTCCATATTATCCACTCTAAAATAGCTAGGGTGACACAAAAAAGTTCTGAAATAAGATATGGAGTTTTTAGTTTTTATCCCAACTTAAGGTGAAAACGCCCACTCAACAGAATAGTGAAGGAGTAAATCAGGATATTATCTTAAATAATTTCTGAGTGAGATGATTCAGGATCTTCGCACAAGGAATTTCATCACATCAGATAAAAGCTCCTATACAACCAACTGTCTCACTCAGCCACTGTCGAGCTACCCGTGTGGGTATTTTGTGAGGATCTCAAAATGAAGTTTACATTCTCATAAAAAGTAATTAGCAAACATGTCTACAATCCTTATTTTTTGGGGGACTAATTTGACTCATATTATAACTGTGTAGTACAACACATTATAACATTAATACGCTTTCAGAGATTAGAAATGAAAAAAAGAAGGAATGTATACATACTTGTAGAGTGGAAACACTACGCTCTAGCTCCGATATGTACTGCAATTTCCTCACTCTTGATCGTTGTGCTGATTGTCTGTTTGCCAATATCCTAATCCCAATTTTAACCACAAGATTAATTCAATAATCGTCATCATTTATATTTATTGTTAAATTAATCTATAAACTTTTTTGGTAAGCATGGTTGATGGTACGGGCTACAATAATTAAGCTGCAATTCACTCCGTAATTACGCCCGAGTCACAATCATTTAATTATTATGCAGCGCACGTGCTACAATAATTAAGCTGCAAATCAAATACGATAGTAGATGTGAGCAATACTTTTTGACTTTTTGTGGATTAAGGTTCACAAATATTTGTCCACAAGTCCATCTCATTCTCTCACATATATACATAGATAAAAGGATGTCATTAAATAATGAGCACAAAATTATTAATAGAAAACTTTAATCACACTGAAAAAATGTTACGTATGCACACTGCGTATTACGTATATTTATTTGAAGAAAATATTGTTTGGCGTATGCGAAGTATTTGATAAACTAAATTAATGTAAAACAATCGTCAATGCCTAAAATGAATGTAGTTTTTGAAAAACCTATACATAATTTTCACAATTAGGTAGTGACGCCTTGGTTTAACTAATCAGTCACTTATTTGTAGAAGGCATATGATCCTATATTCAAATTTAGAATACATTCTATTTGGTCATCCACATCCAACCAACGTATAACATTAAATATAGACCATTTATTAATGTATGGGATTAAGAGAAATGTTAGATTAACCAGTAATTATACGCTAGCTAACTCAATTTAAGTCGAATTTTCTTATTTATGGGAATAAATAAGACTGAAATTAATTGTTTGGCAGAATACACTCGCAATGACTATTTCAGTGCTTTTCATTTACTCCGTATATTTTTCTTTATATTCTTTTGTTTAGAGCATTTTCTTTCTTTATATTCTATTCATAAAATACGTACTAGTACATTTTTTAAAGATTCAGTAGCTATATTTAATTTAGACACTTCCGCCATAATATGAGGCTATGAGCAATATCAATCTATTACCAAATTAAATAGATACTACAAATAAAGTTGTGATTAAGATTTTAGTAGAACAAAATGAAATGATATGAATCACATATTTTTTAGTAAAAACAAAAAACAATACATTTATTTTGAGACAACCAAAAAAATGAAAGTGAGACAACCAAATGGGATGGTGGGAGTATTATTCATAAATAAGAAAATATTTTAATTTTATCTAATGAATACATATACAGGTATTATTATTATAGGAATAAGATTTGTTAACTTTACCAGCAAGAATTACTAAGTTTTTAGTCATATTTGAGATAATTATTCCCTAATTAAAAGGAGATATATGAAGGTCAATGTAGAAAAGAAGAAAAGTAAATTAATCCAAACATGTATGGAGATTGGAGAATCGGAGATCTATTGTATGTGATACATTTGTCTATTGCCAAAAAAAGGTTAACTAGTTAACTAGACAAAAACTACAAAGTACTACGGTAATACTTACTCCGTATTAAAATAAGGAAAAATTGAAAATAATAATCCCAACTATTGTCGATCCGCTGAAAATAATCCCAACTATTGATTATTTTTGTATAATCCCAACTATATAGACTATCCGCCAATAATGGTCCATGACCATATATTACCTCTATAAAAAGTGAATTTTAAATAGAAATTAAGAGTAAAAATTAAAAGTTGAGATTATTTATAGGGATTACTTGTTATATCTCATCTCATCCACTTTAGAAACTACAAGAATTTATTCATAGGGACCATTACTGGCGGAAGCTCCCTAAAGTTGGGATTATTCTGTAATAATCAATAGTTGAGATTATTATGAGCGGACCGCCAATAGTTGGGATTATTACTATCAATTTTTCCTTAAAATAAAAGTGAAATTAGTGGATTTGTATAAAAAACAATACGAGTAATACGGAGTACTAATTGTGATTACCAATATGCATGGAAGAATTTCATTATGAATTTTTAAGTGTATTAGGGATGATGAAAAGCAATTAGTGTTTAATTATTCCAATTACCTCTTAATTCTTTTTGGATCAACTATCTTTTCCGATGAGTAATCCGCCGCATCATGGGCCGTGGTGGTCGTCGTTTGATCCTCGGACTTGCATGAGCTTTCCACTTCCTCCGGTTCCCTCTTGAACTGCGGCGGCGTCTGGTAGAGGCGGAGGTGGTCGGCGCCGCCGCTCTTCACCTTCACATTATCATCGTTGCTGTTGCTGTTGTGATCGGACGGCGACGACGTGTTGGAGCTGGTGGGCCCCACCGAATTCGCGATGTCGTCGTTGAACATGGACATGAGCTGCTCGTCGTCGAACCGGTCGAACTCGTTCCCATTCATCCCGGAACCCCCGCCGCCGGCGGGGGTGGACAGCCGCCGGCACTCCTCCGCCATCGGGCTCTCCAAGAACGCGATGGAGTCGCTGATCGACCTCCGGTGAGAGCCACGCTTGACGGACGAGAAGTCGAGGAACTCGTCGACCCACGACGGCGTGAGAGACGGGACCGCCGTGGCCGGCGGCTTCTGGAGAGAAAAGTCGTGCCAAGTGGGTGTCACGTTTGGAGCTCTCGGAGGTAATTGTGCCATTGATGATCTGATGGATAGAGCTTTCTTAGCTTACGAATGTGTTCAAATTTATTAGTGTCAGAAATACGAAACACTTATTAATGAACACTACGTACGACTCCGTATGTAATAACGTTAACGTACGTTATTATATACGTACTCAGTAACATGCATGCAAGGCTAATCAAGGAGCCAATTCAAAGCAATCTATGTAATTATATACTACAACTTTAAATTAAATCGTTTAAAACTTTAATTTATAATAATCAATCATGAAGATTGAAGAAATAACTAATTTATAATGCACAAGTTCTTGTACGTGGTATGGAGGAAGAGATACAATAATAGTACTTGTAGGACCCGTAGGCGTAGCTCAAGTGCTCAACTTGTGGATAAAGCATGTCACAACAGGCAAGTCCCGAGTTCGAATCCTCCCAACTGCGACGAGAGATTATTATATCTGTACAAGTACTTGAGTCAGAACCATACTCTCTATCTGTTAACTTGTAATTAAAATCTAGTTTATATCTTCTCAATTAACTGTGCGACTAGTGCTGATATCCTCACCACGAGATGCCATCATATCCTTTTTTAATACTCCCTCCGTAACATTTATATCTTCCCACTTTCCTTTTTTGGATGTAACATTCATATCTTCCCATTTCATAATCTTCCAATCATACCCTCAATAATTTTAAAAATAATACACTATTACACCTACTTTTTTTGGATTTATCTTTCATTCCAACACATTATTTCACTATCTTCCAATCATACCCTCAATAATTTATATCTCCTTTCACTATTCTTAATCTACCTACTTTTTAAATGAGAACATATATATGTTCGGAGGGAGTACTACGTAATACTGGTAGATGGTAAGAATGTAGGATTGATTTAAAGTCAATCTAGGCTCCGACCAGAAGGCAATGGGGTAGTGGTGGTGGTGGGGGGTGGGGGTGGGGATGTCACATGGGGGAAGAGGATTGGGACAGCTATCAACAGCTGGTATATAGAGAAGTTGAGACCCAACTGTATAACTGGAAAGCAACAATATTTTATTAACCAAGAGGAATCAGACACCACGTGCCCTTGTAGTAGCACCAAAAGTTACTCACTAGCAACTAGCTAGCTTTGTGTATATTTGGCCCAGTCGTTTCTTTGTTTTTATTTTGCTTGCGGTTAACTAATGGTGCAGGGAATTGAAGATGTTCTCAAGTTTTCAAGTTAATTTGGTGCTCTAATATGTTGTGTTTTTAAGTCTGGTATAAATTGGTGTGTTGTGGTTTTATAATATAATGTGAATTTAACTATTATCAAAGTATGTACTGATTTGAACTCGTTTAATTTGTTTGAATTTAGTCAATTTCAACTTGAATTGGTATATAGTTTAGTCTAGTGTCAAACTATGTCTATCTCAAATAAAAACACATCTTTATTTTTATTTTTAACAAAATAGCTCGTTTCCTTATATTGGTCATGAGCTCATGCCCTCTTTTAAAAGTGAGAGTGGTTCAAATGAACCATATCCCCAAGAAGGTGATTTTCGAAAGATCTTTTCAAACGATGATTCTCAGAGTCTCAGAGCTAGTCCGAGTGATCACTCAATTAGTGTGTTTCGTTAATTTTTCATACTTAGCTTTAAGCGGCACTATGCGAATCTTCTGACAATGTTTTATTATCAATCAGTGGGAATTCTCTTAAAAATTGCGTTGGGAAATCTGAGGACACATAAAGTCAATCAATTAAAAACGATTTCTTATGTGTGCGGCGATATATAAATGAATTGTTGCTAACCTAATGAATTGTACACACCAGTTACTAAAATTTACTTCTCTCAAAAGTTTGACGTAATCCGGTGATAAATAGGTAAAAACGAGGGGTAATTTCTTCTTTCATTCTACTTCATAGCATTTTCTATAATCATGTATTCATGTTGTCCATAAATACAAAACTTCTAATGCATACAAATGAGAATATTAGAAGCCGTGTATATGGATTAGCCATTTTTAATTTTATCATTTCTACTTATGGAAACATTACTTTACTACTCAGTATTTCATACTCCCTCCGTCCCTTATAACTTTGCCAACTTTCCTTTTTTGGATGTCCCATTAACTTTGCCACTTTTCCTTTTAAGTAAAGAATTTGTGGTTCCAGTTAATTCTCTCTCTTCTGCACAAACCTCAACCACACAGTTTTTACTTTATTAATCCCCGTGCCGGTCAAACTTGGCAAAGTTATTAGGGACGGAGGGAGTACTATCTCTATATTACTAGATTTTACCCACTGTTGCTTTAGGATCCGGGGTGTCTGCCTTACTTCAGAGCAAGGCACTCTGCCCAGCTTCTCAGAGTCGTCTGATCAATAGTTCAACGGTTGAAGATATCGAAGTCCGAATCTCGAGGCGTGACCTTCCCCATCCAACGGCTCCCCTGCAGCAAGATACTTCGCCGCACGACAGAGGATCCTCATCCGTTGCTTTATATTGTCTTAAAACTTATCATTCTATATCTGCTTTGTTTCATTTTGTAGAAACTAGAAAAAATGAGTATTTGGTGCCCACAGATACAAAATCTACTATCATTAAGTTACAACTTCCCAAATGATTTATCGGAGCGTGGTGGTGCTTTTGAGGTTGGAACTTCAACCTTTTTGCAAAAGGAAAAAGCTATGTTTAAAAAACCGACCCGACCCGGCCGGGTTGACCCGGAACCCGGTGACCCGGATAAAAATCCGGTTCGGTTTTTTCAAAACCCGGAAATGGTCAAAAACCGGAAAAACTCGGCTGACCCGGAAAAACCCGGTCAAGTCCCGAACCCAAGAAACCCGAAAACCCCGGTAAAACCCAGTTTTTGGGTGTTTTTTACCAAAAAAAAAGTAATTTTTTTTATTTTTAATGCATTTTTTATACCAATAAAATTGCAATTTCAATACCTTAAAAAGAAAAACTACGTAATATATTTATATATTTATTTAAGAATGAACATCATGCCAAATTATAATATAGATGTACAATAAAAATAAAAATATCATTATATGTTTTTATAAGATCAAAATATACATCGAAATATTATAAGAGTGTATTAAATGCTTAATAAGTAGTATTGTTAGTTGATTATTATGAATAATAACTAATTTTTATTATAATTTTATATAAAATTATATGTTTAATATTATTATATAGACATATAATCATTGACCGGTTTTCCGGCGTTGACCGGGTTGACCCACCGGGTCCGGGTTGACCCGTGACCCAGTCATGTGGCCGGGTCACTCTCCGGTCCAGTTAGGAAAAAAGGAGCCTCCTCAAATGCCACGCTTCACCCCATCCACTGGACCACTGTACGTGATAATAACAACTCCATATAAGTAATCAAGTATTACCATTGCTAATAATGAGCAACCACCAACACAATGACAATTGACACATCCAAATTACGTAGTAACTTATTAACATGCTGATAGAATTTTGTTTGTAGCTTAGGTCCGGTGTCTAATTTCAAATTTAATGAAGCTATTTCTAAAATATTCAGTAAAGTAGTTATTTGTATGTAGCTATATCCACATAATTCGAGTGAGACTCGTACTTGTTATTTTCTTGACAAAATCAATTCACCGCATCTCGGAATAACATGAAACTAAACTTCAACTATTATAAAGGGAAAGTTCCCGAAATAGGACTAAAAAAGTTTGAAAATTCCAAAATAGGACTGTCATGTTTTTATTCCTAAAATAGGACTAATTACTGCCAAATTTGGAAAATAATGTCATGTTTGAAGTCTGGTACTGCCAAAATATGACAGTAATTAGTCCTATTTTGGGAATAAAAACATGGAAGTCCTATTTTGGAATTTCCAAACTTTTTTAGTCCCATTTTGGGTAATATCTCTTACAATAAATTATACATGAAATAAATGTATACTAGACCTAATTAGACCAATTTAGAAGAAACCATATCATATCAAACTTAAATAGATCAGATTAGGCTAAATTAAATCATATGTAGTATCACATAATTTCAAATCAATTAAAAACATTATTATTCAAAACGTGTAAACACGAGTCATGTGTATTATTAAGATTAAGATGACTCGAACAGAGGAAGGATGAGTATGCAGTTTGAAGGGAATATATATATTGAGTATGAGTAATTCTTGGTGTACACAAATTACACAATGTATGTGTACACATGAATTTTGATATAAAACTTTACCCTTTTTCAAATAAATTGTATCATGCGTACAACAAAGAACTTTTCATATATATTATGTGAGTCTCTCACTTGTGATGCTAACAATTTAGTAAGTAGTACTCGGTATATTTAACATTCTAAATTTTAGGAGAAATAATGGAAAAGAAAATGGATAGGACAATAGGAGCCACCATGAATAGTAAACTTGTCTCATGAATCATAGAGGTTATAGACTTGCGGACAAAGGGAAAAAATTAAACCCTCAAGATTGGAAAAAGTATACGAGTATTATATTGGTTTAAGTTAGACCTACACATATTTATGTATGATAAAATTATGTTTTGATTTTTCAAGTGTACATACCCTTATTTTATGTCAAACTAAATACTAAACAAACCGTGAACATATTTAAGAGTTTTAACTTAAATGTGTTTTCCTTTTATAGATATGGGAATTTCTATTTGAGACTACAAACATTCATAAAAAAGAAAGCGAGTTTTTTTTGGAGGATGAATGAAATACTAATTATCAGTTTTACAAAATTAGTACAGTAATGAACTAGTGATGATAATACTCCATATGTATTAATATTATTATTATAATTATTACTCCGTATTAGTTATTATTGTGTTGGTGTGGTCGGAAATTTGAACAAAAGTGGGAAAAGGAGAAGAGGAAGTGCAGAAGAGAACATTCGACTGTACGTAGACTGCCATGCACGTGCAGTTGAGGGCCGGCCGTCGGATTGATGAATATGTGTAATGATATAGATCACCAATTAACGGTGGCTTCATACCCATTAAATAATGCCTCATCACATGCATCCTTCAATTAATCACACTTCTTTTTTGGCATCATGATGCCAACTACTTTCATTACCTTACCTACCATGACAAATTAGCCATCCATCCATCACATGTAAAATTTGCTAAGTACTGTAATAGGGTCTCATCTCACTAACAACATGAAGATACAGATGTAACACGATTGTTAAGAAAAATGATTTATGATCGATATTCAATTGATAAAGTAAGAATAAAACAAAAATGATTTAGAACCAGACAAAATTTACTAAATTTGGTATGAGACAATCTTAATGAGACGGA